TTGCAAGCCCGACCATATGCCGCCATCTAGGTTCAATGGCCGTTGAATCAGACAGGCGAACTCCGAGCAAATCATGGTACGGATCCGGCCTTAGGCGATAATCTCGGCTGATCCGTGACTCGTGCCAATGTTTGACTGTATGATCCCATTTATAGGTTGGTAGGTCGGACCGGACGATGGCCATTTCATGTGCGGGTGACAGCGCCGAAACAGCGACAAAGTCCACATGTACGCCACGCTCAAACAGGAATCCGGCAAGAGAGAGAGCACTCGCATTAGCCTTGGTATTTCTTTGCAGGACAGATGAATAGCCAAAGTCCAGCTTCGGTTCGTCGTTGAGATTGGCCAGGATTTGCCGGAAAGGGCCTGCGAGTGCCGAGTGAGGACCAATCTCGATGAAGACTGGCTTTGGTTCTCGGACCACTGAGCGCACCAAGGTCTCAACAGCGTCACTGAAGCGGACGGGCGACACGCTGTTAGCGACAAAGTATTCATTGTCAAAACCTCGCGTCTTGACTTGGCCCGTCACGGAAGAAACGAAGAACACATCTTCGGCAGGGGGGATCTTGTCCTCTGTTGGCATGCTCGCCAGACGCTCAAGGTAGTCATCAGCCACGTTAAGCATATGATGCGAGTGGTAAGCCGTATCAACTTGCAATCGTCGATGAAATATGCTCTGATCTGTCACGGCAACTAATCTTGCTGCCACTTCATTGATCGCGTCGGCGTCTCCGGACAAAGTCACACTTTTCGGACTGTTGACGCATGCGATGCGAGCCTCGCCTGAGGTCAACCCCTGCATGTAAGGCTTCATTTCCTCTTCGCCCATACCAACGGCCATCATGGCTCCGCGAGGCAGGCCGCGGGATTTGGCAACTGACCCCTGGAAGCTGCCATGGTAGGCTATGCCAATGGCCACACGTTGAGAGATGTGGCCAGCTGCGTATGCCCCGGCAATCTCTCCACTCGAATGGCCGACTACAGCATGTGGCTTCACGCCTAGGGATTGCAGCAAGTCCACGACAGCCACCTGTATAGCGGTTAAGCCAGGCTTCGCTACCTCGGCGGTATTCAGCAACGAGGCCTCCCCCTCGGTTTCATCGCGAAGAAGCTCTGCCTCCAAGTCCCATTGTGCGCCAAGGGCGAGTAGGATATCGCTGGAGCGTCGGATGGAGTCGCGAAAGACAGACCCATTCTTTGCTTTGGTGAGCAGCTCACGGCCCATCCCGGCCCATTGTGCCCCTTGACCAGTGAATACAAAGTTTACTTCCGTTGCGTCAGGCACAGGCTTGGTTGGGGGATTGGAAATCGCCTTGCCGAGGCTCTCCGGGAGGGAAATCTGCTCTTTTGCCACACAGCTGCATCGCCATCGCAGGGCGGTGCGGCGGCGGCATAGCGTATAAGACAGGTCTATCAACGACTTTGGATCTGTCTGTTGCCGAACCCAATCCCTATGGGCCTCCAGCATGGCAATTAATGACGCCTGGCTGTTAGCAGAGAATACGAACAAGAGTGGCTCTTCTGCAAGATCAACGACGTCTGGAGCCGGCAGACCAACTAGCGGAGCTGGTTCAACAATAGCGTGGGCATTTGCACCACCGAACCCTGTGCTGTTGATGGATACACGGGGTATGACGCCTTCGGCATCAGGCCAGTCAATCAGGGATTTGGTTATATTCATGCGATCCAGAGGCAGGCCCGGCTTGGGGTTTTCAAAACCGGCAACGGGCGGAATCTTCTTATGCTTAAGCACCAAGGCAGCCTTGATTAAGCTGGCCAGACCGCTGCCGTTCTCCAAGTGGCCAACGTTGCCCTTGAGCGAGCCGACATAAAGGGGCAGGGAACGGCCAGGGCCGGTGAACACCTCTGCAATGGCCTGGAGCTCCTCGTGATCTCCGGCCACAGTCCCGGTGCCGTGTGCCTCGACATAGACAACGTCTTGGGGCCGTACGGCGGCTCGAGAGTAAGTGGTCCGCATGAGCTTCGCCTGAGACTGCCCGTTGGGGTAGTTGAGACCCTTGGACGTGTAGCCGTCGTGGTTCGAGGCGATGCCGCGGATGACGGTGTGGATCGGGTCTCTGTCGCGGAGGGCCTCGTCAAGACGCTTGACGATGAGCACTGTGAACCCCTCGCCCCTCCCGTAACCGGAGCCGCGGGTGTCAAATGGGTAGCTTCGCCCGGTGTCGCTGAGCATATGTAGATGGCCCATACCCAGGTGGTGATCCGGGCTCAGCGTGAGATTACCGGCAACGACAACGGCAGCATCAATCTCGTTGAGAGTCAAGCTCTGGCAGGCTTGATGAAGGGCGATGAGACCCCCTGAGCAGGCCGTGTCGAGAGCTACAGAGGGCCCGCACAAGTCAAAGACGTGGGAGATGCGGTTAGCCATAATGGACTCCTCCGAGCCCGCGAGGTAATGTACGGGAAGGTCAAGCGTGTCCTTGTACAGGTTTCGGTCGAAATCCGCTGTAAAGGTCGCGGCGTACACGGCTGTGTTAGAACCGGCAACGGCATCTCGGGACCAGCCAGCATTCTCAAGCGCCTCGTACGTCGTCTCCAGCAGCATGCGTTGCTGAGGGTCTGTCGCCGCTGCTTGATTGGGAGATATGTGGAAGAAGGCATGGTCAAAGTCTCGGACATCAGCATCGATGAAATGGCCACCCTGATGGGTGCTAGTACCGTTTGGGTCGTTGATATTGGGGTGGTGGAAGGCCTTTTCATTGAAACGCTCCTCAGGAACGGGTGTCCATGTTGCCGTGCCGTTTTCAATAATTTTCCAAAGTTCCTCGGGGCTATTGGCACCACCGGGCATCCGGCATGACATGCCTACGACGGCAATAGGAATTGTTTCACCCATGATCGTAGTTCGGGAAGTATCAGGGTCAGTCACACAAGCTAAGCTTAGGGGCAAAGATCAATAAAATGTTCTGCTATCTAATGACTTGGTAAAAAGGATAAGGGTGAGATTATTGCAGCGTTATTACCAGTTTTCTATCAGGTGTTTCTTCCAATCACGCTTACTGATTTACGTGGAACTAAATGCCGGGAACCTGGTCAGAAGGTATGGATGTAAACGAAGTTGTCAGGCCGGCTCACTCTAAAGCAGGCGATCGTCCAGGATCGCACCAACCCCTGCTTCAACGGGAAGCATCTGGGCCAGGCTCGTCGATTTATCGCTTCTTTTTACGCAAAACGACCAGGTAGGTCCAGCTCTTGGCTACCTTCCTGTATGGGAAGGATATAGCTTACTCCCGCTTAATCATTCCTTGCGTAGGCCATGAGTAGAAAGAAATACATCATGAATCTATGCCAGAGTATGTCTCTGCTCTTGTTCTATACCAACGTGCTACCCAGTGGCTTCGATCGTATAACGAGCCAATCAGTTGTCGTGGTTCTCGCCCGCCTCAGCCTACAGATGGATCATTCAACGTGTGGGAAGAATCATAGTGCTACTTATTTTGATTGGTCGATGGGAATTCTAGGATAGTAAAGAGTCCACCTAGGCCGTAGAGTAGACGGTGGCGGAGTATTTGAGAAAAGTCCAATACGTCAATAAGCAAGCTGGAGATTCGTCGGAGTCCACGAGATCCTTGCCGCCGTCAAGGATCCGATTCGGAACTCCGCAAATAGCAGAAACGAGAAAGGCTTTTCTACCTACTATCGTAGGGATCTCCATTGGATCCACTATGATGTGCTGTATACCTTCCTCAGACATGACTAGCGGAGAGAGAGTGTGATAGATGATTGTAGTAGTAACCCAAGTTGCCAGGCTTGCCAGGTTAGATCTCACAGGACTACTACCTTGTCGGATGACTGCATTAAGTCCGTGGCGTATGCGTTTCCACAATAGCCCGCCTCATAGGATAATTGCTTCAGACCCATGCGAAATACCTTGAACAGGTAGATGCCAGGGATTATGGTTACATTTCAGGTAAGTCTGCGCCGGCTGTAGTTCCTTACTTCCATCACCTGTACTATACTGATAAGTAATACAGTTATACAGGTTCCTCCGATGGCGCTATGTATCAGAATCTTTTTACCCCTCTGCAGCTGGGCCAACTTAACCAGCGCGTAGTATGCCGTGATACCGGTTGTCGGCAAGGACGCAGCCTCCTCTATGGAGAGAATCTCGGGCTCTTTGGCAACCTCTTGGTGATAAAAACGCGCGTAGGTGGTACTGTACCCAACGGGACTCACACAGACACGATCCCCTAGCACCAAAGTGTCGCAGTTTGCGCCTATCCTTGTCACGGCTCCAGCACATTCAACGCCTATCGTTTCGGCATGTTACTTTCCGAAGAGGACAAGTAGGTCGCGGAAGCTGACACCCATTGCTTCTACCCGCATATCGACCTTGTCGGGGCTTCGGTCAGCTTATTAGGCCACATCTATCTCCCAACTGATGGAGTCAATCAAACCAGAGTGCAATGTTAGGAATGACCAGTGCTAGCGGTGGGCTTTCACCAATTGTCTTCTTACTAATCATCTGGTGGGTTTTGGACTATATTCATCGATTGATCATTCTATCATCGCAAGCCCAACCACTTCAGTGGCATGAGATCAATCATAGCACCTCATGGATCATTTCATTCGAGCTACGACACGCTCATACATTCAATTATAAAGGCATGTTACCACTGCGCGTTGACAACAGACGAGCTATTCCCAATTCAACTTGTGGTATTCAGAGGCAATATCCAAAAAAAAAATATGCATTGGTTAGAAAAGCCTATGACTTTGCTGTGTGAGTCTATTATGCTAATGAATTAGGCCTAGAATCCTCCATTGCTATATTTAATGGCGCGAGTTTAGGTCCCTAAATTCTTAACCCCCGGAGCTTCTCTTTCGTCGTGAGGGTCCAGAAGAATACAAATCAAATTATTGTCTATATATTAATATGATCGCAAGCATTATAGCTCACAGAGATATGGCTGAATCGCTATCGTACATAAAAGAACAACTTGCTAAATTCGATATACTTAAACAAGACGGTGTTTGTCTCAGGCAAGAGGCAATGATAGAGTTACAGCAACAGAGTTTCCTGCGGCCGGAGGACTTCCTATGTAAATATTGAATGCAGTAGCAGTGTGGAGGAACAAGAGGGCTGAATCAGCTTCAGAGAGACAGGCCAACTCGCCACTCGTGTTACGCGTACAACGCACGTAGCGCCTGGCGGGAGTGGCAGCAATGTCTGATGCGAGCATCCACTGGCCGATATAACCGCTGCCAGTGGGTAGAGGAGTATTATAGGCGAAAAAGTACGTTTGAACATCGCCGCTTAAGCCAGGCGAGAGTGTAATGGACAAACGGCCCGTGACAGGGTCCAGGAAGTAAGGCACGCCGTCGGCAGGAGCGTATTGTGTGGCGGTGGTAGCGTAAGTCAGGTAAAAGGTAGACGTTTGCTTGACGAGCTTAAGTTCGTGAGACGCACCGCCGATGACATCGGTCGCGATAATACGGGGGTAAGCAGTTGGTATATTTGCCAATGTTGACGTTGAGCTGGTAGTAGACTCGGGCGCGGTAGATTCAGGCACAGTAGTAGATTGGGGTATAGAGGTAGATTCAGGTGTAGAAGTAGGCGTTGAGCTGGTAGTGGACTCAGGCGCGGTGGTAGATTGAGCTATGGTTGTAGACTCAGGCGTAGAAGTAGACTCAGGCTTAGAAGTAGACTCGGGTGTGGAAGTAGATTCGGGTGTGGAAGTAGATTCAAGCGTAGAAGTAGATCCAAGCGTAGAAGTAGATCCAAGCGTGGAAGTAGGCTCCGGTGTAGAGGTAGATTCAGGTGTAGTAGTAAATCCAGAACTATATTCGGAAGGGGTAGTCAACGATTCGGATGGTGTAGATGATTCAGACGATGGCGTAGTCGCGAGCTCAGAAGAGACAGTAACTGTTCCAGAGGAGGCGGGAGTTGTTGGCAAAGTCGATGGCGTGGTCCTTTCAGTAGACGGGATAGGTGTTGACTGCAGTGAGGAGGCTGTTCCTGATACAGATGGCGAAGTATCCTGGGTTGAAGAAATACCTGGAGTCGTCAACACCGAGGAGGTCGGGCTGACTGTTGTCGCCAGGCTCGTTGTTGATTCAGTGCGCGCCAAGCAGGAGCAAGCACTTGAATACTTGTGCTCTGATCGACATTTACCCGTCACATACTCAGGAATACTCCCGCTTCCGCTTAGAAACGCAGCGCAGTCGGCTGCCGTGTCATGGTTCTGGTTGAATGAGGAGCCTGGGCGTACAGCGGCCGCGCAGGGTCCATGGCACGGCTGGCAGGTTTTGGCGGCCTGAGCATAATCTGCCGCTGAGCTTATCAGAATGCTCAGTGAAAGGAGAGCAAAATTAGAACGCATTTTGAAGTAAAGCAAACAGCTGGATGTGGACCGGCCAAGATGGTTTTCATGGGCTGTGATTCAAGAAGGCCGAGCACAGGAAGATCCATGGGCTAAATTGATCAGACATCAAGAGACAGCCAATGTGTTATTTTAATCGATTCGAGTCAGGAGTACCTTGGCCAGTCTTGTGCATTAGCTTCAATAATATTTGGCTTGCGTCCGCCACTAGTACGCTCTAGATCGGGCAGTATTGAAAGACTAGGACAAATGCGTGATCAGCGTCCGCAATTTGCTCCTGTCTTATTCTTCGTTGTTGCGATCGTAAGTCTATCACTAACGCCTGCTTGGCGAAATTTCTCGAAGCCACGACTAGGTTCAAACTTGCCAAATCTAGTATATTGTCTATTCTGACGACCAACCAAGCATTGATCTCACGATGCAGAAACCGAGATCTATGCCTGCTGATCGATGATTCCAGATTTCAGAGTCAGGGGTCAGCGATTCGGACCTGGCTGAACGTGGCAAGTGGGTGAGGTGACATGGGTGACATAAGCGATGAAACACACCAAATTGTTAGGCGTTCTTTTTCGCTATTTACTACAGCAAAAAAGACGCAGGAAGACTTCAAAAGATGCCTTCATTCTTTATATAGCCTTTGGATTATATTATATCCTCTATTTAATATTTTAAGGCGATGTGGGATCAAGTTGTAGCTGATAAAACATAGAGACTCTGCGGCTACGGATGCTTGAAGTCTTGGTCTCATCCCTTCTGTCACTCACTTGCATGGGAAGGAGTCGCGCCAAGTGGGCGCTAATTTAGCTGACAGCAAATAAGGAAAGGGGATTATATCGAAATGGTGCCTGGGCGAGACCATTATGGGTCTAGACTAGGCCCATGCTTTTCATAGCATCCCAACTTTCTCTGCTCATGCCACGCGGCAGCACAAGATCTTCATCCCGATTATCCCATATACCTACCCCCAAACCACTACAGACTTGATAACTGCTCCGTACTCCATAGAACAAAATCATCAGTTGGAAGTAGTCCTAATTCCAATAGAGACATGCGTCGTCCAGCGGCGTCTTTCCGTGACAACCAAAAGCGTCCGGTTCGGTGTCGCATCCTAGTTCTATGGTCCATTCCGAGACTGAAAGTTCGACATGCATGCTATATGGAGAATCCCCATCTGACCAGCGACATCTACCTTGGTGTCGGTGGCGCGCCTTTCGAAAGCAGAAAATCTGCACTTGCCATATTATCGGAGCATGTGGCCCGGCACAGTGGCGTCCACCGCGCGCGCCATCTGAATTTTCCGAGCTACCCCATGTACCAAACTGCTATGCCAGTCCACTTCGGGTATTCTATGCGGGGGCAACGGGGGTAATTCCGGGAACAATGAAGTTGAGCCGGTGGATCTGCTTACAACTACCTAGGTAGATATAGGAGGTTACCCTGCATCCTACCCTAGAGCAAAGACTTCAATTCTAGATATCTCTAGCTAGAAATATGAATACATATCTTAAAAAGATGAATATATAACTATCAATGTCAACTGGTTGACTTTGGATTGTAATCATGAGTTTATTTAGCTTATATTAAGATTATTAGCTCGATGTGTGTTTTAAGAAAGATAGGGAACACAATGTCTGTAGGATTCCTAGCCACGTGTAGACAAAAAAGCCAAGATATTAAATTGCTTGATCACGTGACATAATTGCTAAGCTACTACGATAGCCCCTTCCGGCTTAGGCGATTTTCCCCTAAATAACATGTCGCAACTGAACGGCCTGACCGCGACAGCTTACCAAGAACACCAGCCTAGAAACCTGGAGCCGGCTGATATGAACCCGCGCAGGTGTATCAGCCAACCTCGGAGCAAGGTATTTTGTCCCATCCAGCAAGTTGGACTTGATCGGCCACTTACATCAGAGCGAGGAAAGGGGCTACTGATGGGTGCTGTAGCGTCGGCACTTGGATCGGCAGGTCCACTGCGAACAAGGGTGGATGAGGCCGGCAATAATAGTGCGTGCTGTGCCAGAAGCGACGCAGCTTCGTCGACTTCTCGGAAGACATCGTCGCGCGGCTCCATATCGAGTTTCTTGGCATCAGCAGTGCTCAATTGCTGGCTGAGTGCCGTCAAGCTAGCGAAGCCCTGATCAAGGCACCGTCTTGTTCGAGTGCAAAGGTCGGCAAATTTGTTTTCAGATTGTCAATTGTTCAGTTCTGCTTGCGGTCTAGAGGTTAGTAGGCCTATTGTCCTTTTATTAATCTTCGCGAGGCGGAAGGGACTAATGGAGAGGAGGTCGCGGACAGTCGTTTTTAGCAAAGCACCATCGTGTTCTTGTTCGTGAATTTCAAGTCCGTTATAATCACCAGTAGCTAGTACAAGCGTGCGCAATTTACAAATAAACCTCTATTGGCCATCAACCTTGCTATTCAATATCTTCGCATGAACCCCGTGTGTCCTAAACTCGGTTCACCCCGATGAGTTGAGAACAGTATTGCCACGAACGTCTTGTGCTTGAGAGCCTACATTGATTGGGCGGTTCGCCGCCTTGACCTCGATCTTGTCCATGGCGGCGAGAGCACAACGCATCATCTCTTGGGTATGCTCGTCCAGGTACACACCTTGAGAATGTTGTAGAATCTGTCTCAGCCGCAGCCAGTCGTCGTTTTTGAACTGGCCGTGTCTGGTCTGGGTGCGTGATTGAACATGCCCCCTGACTTGATTGGGCGCGTAGATGAGCCATGTACAGGCAATCTGCACCGTTTCTTGACCGATTTCAGACATCTCCTCTTCCGAGAATCTCAGAACGAGATCCTCGTAAATTATTTTTGCGTCACGAAACCACTCACACTTGTCCTCGCCCAGTTGTGCGATGAACGCGATGAAATTCCTGTTGCGTTCGTGAGCTTGCACTGACACGCGACCTGCGTCAGCTCCAACCCCCATCTTTGATGAAGAGAACGTTACTTGCCGGCTATTCTATGATCAGCTATAAGCAGCGATATTTCAGGCAGGCTCGTCCAGAAAGCTTGGTCGTCTCTTGTCAAGATCTGGCCTGTCTTGGGATCGAGGACTGTCTGTTGCTGCAGAAGAGTGGTGAAGTCGACGAGCTTCGACTGTTCATCGGGAGGCGTAGACATGCAAAGGCCATAGATGGTGCCAATGACGCCGGCCACGTGATAGGACAGGGCGTTTGGGGGCTCGCTCGCAGCTGCTGCTGCTGCAGATAGAGAGACGATCTCCTCTACCGCCTTGGCCGGGGACGGGTCAGCCTGTCGCATCATCCTCTCGATGATGCCCTTTGGCTCTTGCCTCTGCGCGGGGTCCAAGGTCAGGAACCAGTCAGGAGAGCTGCTTGTCTGACTCTCGCTCTCGGTGATGGGGAGGCGGGGTAGACTCACAAAGTGGCTCAGATTTGTACTCTCCGACATTATCCCAGGTTGTCTTTTATATCTTTTCCTGTTCGATATTGAATGTGAACAGACAAGACGATTGGCGTGAAGAAATGTCAGAGGCCAAGAAAAAAAAGAAACAAAAAGCTAGTATTTTCTTGTTCGGCTCGAGTGTCGTTTATCTACGGTCGCCAAGATTGGGCTGCATGATGGCTACGGAGGGGAGGCCCGGGAGCGGGAAGCTGAGATCAAGCTGCGACCGATGCACGTTACCAAAGATTCGGTGCGACAAGCAGACGCCGACGTGTGGGAGGTGCAACTCAGCAGCTTTGATAGCTTTTGCGAAGCCAGCAAGCTTATGGTTGCTAGTGCTGACTCTAGGCTTTGTGATATTCGTCTTGTTGCCTTCAAGGAGAGGCACCGAGATCTCGTTCCTTGTTATATTGTATATGTGGTGACTGTTGGGATACACTGATGGCTGCGGGTGTGTCAGTGTCAGTGCTCTGGCCAAGGGGCTACTGGTACTCACTGGGTTGGTTGATTTGCGCTTGTGTTTGGATTGACGTGATAGAAGACAAGAAGCCGGGTAACGAGGGCAGCTTTAAGAGTCATTTGACGCGCAGCTCGTCCTGACGGCAAGTGAGTCATCGGCATGAAGGTTTAAAGAATTATCTGCCGTAAGACTGTAGCCTTGGGCTAGCAAATCTTCCTTTATTAACCTTTGATATTCAATGTATTGAGTTTGTCATATTCTTTGTTTTAACGTTCAAGCTACGTCTCCTCCGGTGGGAGGTGCAAGACTCCCGGCCTCGCGTGCGTCTACAGCCCCTACCGTTGGAAAGGGAGACTATCGAGCAACAAGACTCGAGAGGCCCTGGCACAGCCAACGTCGCAGCCAACGCCGGTTGCCGAGGAACAGGAACCGCCCAGCTCAGCGTCGCTCGCTAGTGCGCATGTTCAGCAGCTACTGCCAAACGCGCATGCAGGCGCCTAGTATACATGCATGGATCTTTCCCCGTCCGCCCGTTGCTCCGCCAGGGCCAAATTCCCTGTACTCACTGAGTCAGAGTGTAGTAGACAATGCTGCTCACCTAGCATCCTCGGGTGAGGCGCCCCTAGCTGCGGGATCCTCGTCTGAATCTGGCATCTACACCCTCTCGATTCTAAGCAGAGCATCGCCCGTCGTTCAATCCTGCTACGAGATGGTCCTAGAGACTCTGTCTAGCTTATGCGCCATGCCACTCGACTCCTGTCGGTTCAAGGCTAGCCCTGCCAGATTGCTGAGTGAAAGATGTGATTTGGGCAAGGGGCTCCAGTCGCCCACAGAGAGCATTTCCACAGACCAGGCATTGAAGATCAACCGGGCCGCCTTGCAAACACTACACCATATCTCCCCTCGGAACTGCAGCAGCTGCGAGGCCGACACCAATTCGAGCCTTCTCCTCAAACCAAGCCACCGTATGCTCGGCGCCTACCGTTCCCATCGCGCAGAAGCATGCTGCTGAGACACACCTTTCACAACTGTACAGTTCAGCGATTTCAGATTCTAACCTTTATTTTTTAATAATATAAAAATTTACTTATCAAGTTTTAATAGATCCTACTAGGCACTATTATAATATTAATAATAGAGATATTGTAAGTGATATTATATTCTCAAACCTCAATTATTTAACAATGGATCTCTTGTCTGTGCTAAACCAGTCTTGAACTATAGTGCCCGGCCGGAACAGTTAAAAGGAGGTTTCAGAAGCACTCAGCAACTTCATTATTCCTTCACCGCCAAACAATTTCCTGGAGATTATACTCGGATAATCGGCAGTGTACATAGAGCGGGAAATGCAGAATCTGAATTTCTACAGTAGAAACACTCTCAAAGAATATTGCCTTCGACAAATCTTGTTAGACAAGTATGGTTCTGCGAACACGAGCAAGGCAAAGCGAGGGGATCGTACTTTCCTGTCGTTATGTTATCCCTGTGATTGAGCGAGCTAGGCCGTACAGCAGAGGCTAGAGGCCCAAGCTTCTCAGAAGCCAGACCAAGCTCGTAATACGACAAGTGTGACAGTGGACCCTTGGACGCACTGGGATGGCTCGGCTTCTGATCGTCACCGCCACCTAACCCGGTTGGTTAGCCTGTCTCGTATTGCAGAGTTCCTATGACCTCATATCCCGACTTGCCGACCGAGCAGTAGACCACGCACATGTCGGAGGGTGTAACGTTAAATGTCTATATTAGACCTTTATTGACCACTCTCTATTGTCCAAGCACCTATTCCTACTTCAAAACAAACCTTCGAAAGGATTACAGCACAACGATCCTATAACCACTCAATTTTAAAGAATCTACTACCCTCCAATATGAAGTTTTCCACTATTGCCTTCGCTGCCGGTGCTACAGCAGCTGTGTACAAAAGGCAGGACACCGTGTTTGAGGTCACCAATTTCAGTGCCAGCTGTATACCCCATAGCACACAATGCAGGTAAGGTTCATTCTAGACTGCTGGATCTTGTTTACTCGGTCGGAACCGTCGCTGACGATTGTCTTGTCTCTAGTTACGACTTCGACGTCTTTGAGCCTGGCACAATGCAGACAACTCCTCAGCATTGTGCCGCCATGGTCTCTGCTGACGGGATTGGCGAGCTGCCTGCGTTAGACAATGGCGAGTGCGAGCAAACCTCCAAAACGTTCAAGATCATCAAATCCTTCGGCGGTCTCGCGCTTTACGTATACGAACCCGTAACCCCTAGCTCCAACAAATCTGGTGTTCACCAAATCCAGACTGCGGAGCTTGAGATGGTTGTTCCTGCCGAGAACCCAAACGGTGCTCACCAGGTCTACAAGGGCCCTACCAGCTTTCCTCTCACGCCCCAAGGCATGTAAATACATTTTGTTGGGCATAAAATAGATCGTGGAATAGCCTAGTAATAGAAATATCTAATGGGGAAGTCTATTACTGCGCAGGTATATAAGTTAACCTGCTATAGAGCTTTATAATTAACAAGACTTTGATCGTTGCCTCGCTATCGCCTTGGAAATCTAGTTATTTATATGTATATACGACCAAGTTAGCTTCTTGTCGAGTAGTCTTTTAATGAATTATATACTAGCAAATGTAGCCAGAAGACAAAAGCTCTTTGCCTTGCGGATACTAACGTACTGGAGTACCACCACAATTCTTATCTTCCAGCATACTAATCCACTTCCCCTAGACCTCTTCTCCGATCCAGTTCCGGGTTAGTAAAACCAAGGGAATTGTACTTCAAGTTCTTCCGCGTTTAAGTGATTGCACTGAGAAATAAAGATTAAATTTTAGTACTAACTGCAGCTAAATCTTTACCCCCTTTTATTATTATATATATAACAGTAGTTTTCTGGAGAAGGTTAATTCCTAGAAGTAGTAAAGGTAGAAGGAGAATATAAAAAAGAATTTCCTTCAGGACCTCAGAGAGCGTATATTAAAATAATAATAATATAAGGAAAATAGATCAGGTCTCGGATCTAACCCTATATCTTACTCTATTTTATTTCTAATATATTATATTGTATTATATTTCCCGAAGGGATAACTATAAATCAACTAGCAAGATAATTATATATTATTCTATCTTATCTATAGCTTCTCATACCGAAAATACCGAAAGTTTCTATATCACAGGTTAAATCACGATTATCAGTAAAATAAATAGCTTGAGTTGGATGAAACATCTAGTATTACTATTGTGTATAGTTTCTAGTTCTAAGGTCCAAATAAGGTTCGCGCAACCATTATCATACAGTCATCCCAGCTTACGACCTTAAGAGGTGTACTGACAGTCGTTAGGCTTCTCGACCTTGCCGGCGCGGGCAGAGAAACCCAGGCAGCCCTCATTGCCGCCGGGGTTGCTGGCACCGCTCAGCCAGATGCTCCAGGCGCCATCGATACTGTTAGGGCAAGCCGTCAGGTCAGTGCCGTTGAACTGGAGGTTGCCATCGGCGTTAATAACCCAGCCCTCGCGCTCAGCGTTGCGGGGAGCGGGCTCGGCGCCGGTGGTGTAGCCAATCTTGCCCTGGCCCATGCCCGAGCGGTCGACGTAGATCTGCTGGCGGGGGTTGCCGGAGGCGTAGAGCCAGAGGGTCTTGTCCTCGCTGTTGATCTGGAAGGCAGCGGGCTGGTTGCCGTCGACGCCCGCGAGGCACGAGGCGTCCTGCTCGGGTAGCTTGGCGAACAGGCTGCTCTTGGCGGCGCTGATGCGCGCAAAGTGGATGTCACTGGCCGAGCGCAGGGGGAGAATCTCAAAGTTTGTAATATCGGAGTTGGTCGTCTCGCGCGCTTCATTGGCGCCGGGCATGGCGGCGGCGGCAGCGGCGAGGGAGGCAACGGCGAAGGTCTTCATGATGAGGGAGAGGTGGAGGTGAGTTGTAGAATGGTTGAAGATTCAGAGTAGAGTGGAAGAGAGGGTATTGAGATTGTAGAGTTGAATAATGAGTATGAGGGTGAAAAAAGCTATCTTGGAAGCTGAACCTTTGCCAGATATATACCTGTTCGCCTTGAATCCTTTACCGCCACAACGACGATCTTCTCGTGAAAGCGGATCAGCCTCAGCAGCATATAGTATAGTAACAGCCCTCCCCAGGCTATACTTGCACTCGCATATCACCGTCGGCTGGGCATAACCAGACAAGCCAGACCGAACACTATTACGATGGCCAGCATGACTCAGTTACCATATCAACTGCCGGCCAGACCCGTTGCCCCAGATTTCGGTCCCTCGCCTCGCCTCGGCTGTATATCCGTGCCAATCATGGCCACTTGGGTCCGGCGCCCAGCCTCGTATTCAACCTGCCGGCCCACCTTTTGCCCCTTTTCTCCCCTGGGCCGCGCTTATACGCCGGGCGGTCAACGACCATGCGTGCCCTGGTTGAGCCGCTTTGATTGATGGTAGTGGGACCTATTACGGCATTCGAATTGCATTTTCATGCTCCGATACAGACATTCACTGACGTCTGCCCGATCGTGCACTATCCACTTGGTGACGTAGAATGACCCTCCCTCGGGGTTGGGACCTCGTCGGACTTCGAGCATAAGCCATAGGGGTAAAAGGCCACGACAGCCTTGAGCATCTCCGTGTCCTTTTCGTTTATGAGTTTTTGGTAGGCACCCTCACGGTGGTAGGTTAGAAGGACTGGTAGCGGATTAAACAGACCCTCAGCAGGGATGGTGGATTGGTCCTCGATGATGTGGTAGACATACTCGTCGTGGCCCCAAGAAAGCATGACGTTGTACAGATCACAGCCGCAAGAGTAGATACCAAACTTGGTAGAGTAGAGGGGGTGGTTGACGTCCTTGTTCTTCTCGAAGGATTTGGTACCGAAGATGGTGCGGTCGTCGAAGGCACACAGTCGACGGGGAAGGTGTCACCGACAAGGTCCTACTGGCCCTGGGCATCGTAGAAGAAGAGAAGCTTGTCAAGGCCGTGGATGAGATCGACTAGCAGCATTCAGCGGGGCTTGCATTCTTTGCGCATAACAACTTCAGAAGTCTGGAGAAGGTAGGCCATTTGGGGCTCTGGGTGTCTGGGTCGCATTCGTCGGTGAAGATTATCGCCTCCCAAGCACCCATGCGGGCGCGGATCTTGCTGTGGAATTCATTGCGGGCCTTGAGGTTGAAGGCGACGGTCTGCAGAGTGTGCTGGGTGGCGTAGAAGTTCTTGACGCACCACGTCTTCGGCGTCGAGGAACTGATGGAAGTTGGACTTGTCCTTGGCCTCGTCGAACTCGGAGGCGTGGCAGAGGCCCCTGTTCAATGACGGCCATGGCTAGCAGCAGAAAGAAATTAAAAAGTGCGCGAGATTAAATTATCGATCGAGTTATTGTACTTGTTATTTGTTGATGCTCTTTTATCAATTTTGTTCCTCCATTTGTGTTGAAAAACTGGTACTTAATGCGCTGCGCCTTCTCATCTGTCTTTTACTAAATCCCTAACTTGAAATGGGCGAGGCCTTCATGGTCCGCTTGACGAAATTTACTCCATACGGGCACATGGTCCTCCCAGGACTGTTGTTACTTACTTTCACCTTAGTGTTCATACTCCACCCAAGATTGTTCGAGGCTGAAATGACCAAGCTTCTCGTAGGGAATCTCGATTCCAGGCGAGGTGGGGACTACACTCTCCCCCGCCTTTGTCCCACCCTTAGCGTAAATAGAGAAGCTTACACTCCTTTGCCAGGGATCGGGTATGAACCCCGGATTCATCAATATCGAGGGCATCTATATTAGTTTACTAATCCCGCCTGTAATTTTGCTATCGAAGGTATCATATGCTTTTCCCAATCTCTCTTATTATTTAAACCTGGAACAATGTCAGGAAAAAACGACAAGACTATCGACGAGCTGCCCAACGCAGTCGAGGTCGAACTCCTCACTGTAGATGAGGCTGTGAACTATCAAGGTCTTACATTGAAATGTGTCATAGTATATCTGGTATGAGTCATTATATACAATATCCACCGAATATCACAAGCAGTAGAGTAAAATAAGGAAACTAACTACTTATCTAGTCTATTCTTCTTGCTTGTCTTGCACAAGTCCTTGCAATTGTTGCAACTGGTGCGGTAAGTCTTCCACCTAGGCCAAAACTCTCTCAACTACTGATAGACATGCTAGTTCTCTAGAAATATGGCAAATGTTTTGGGTGGACATGACAAGTACATCTGGGTACCCCAAGGCCTGATTATCTGTGTCACATTCACGGCTGCTCCGATTGCGCAATCCTCGGATTTCTGGGGCCGCAGAATGCCTATCCTTATCTGCACCGCTCTCTGTATCGTTGGATCCATTTTGATCAGCCGGGCTTCGTCTATGACTATGGCCATCGCTGGATCCTTGATCGTTGGGGTGGGATCGGGATCGACCTCACTGCTCTATGCGGTTGCGTCAGAGATCATGCCACGACAGTATCGACCAGCTGCCCAAGCTGGCGTGAATATATCGAACTCAGTTGGTGGTTTATTCACACTGTTACTAGGCTTTGGCCTCATCAAGAATGACGATGAAGGCTTTCGAACTGTTTGGTATGTTGGCACAGGCTTGTTCATCGTCAGTTTTCTCGCCATCCTCTTCCTTTTCAACCCGCCTAAAAGACGATTGGAGGCATCTCTTACTTGGAAAGAGAAAATTGAAGCTCTTGATTGGATTGGCTATATCCTGTTCTCTATCGGAATGATCATGTTCAGCGTAGGATTGACCTGGGCGAATAACCCGTACTCTTGGAAGAGCGCTCAGGTCTTGAGCACTTTTATCGTCGGCTTGGTATTTATCATTTTTACAGCCATCTGGGAGATCAAGAAAAAGGACGGATTTTGTCACCATGGCCTCTTTCGAACCGGCCGCAACTTCCCGCTTGCCCTGGTCTTCATCTTCGTCGAAGGTTTCGCATTTTATGCCGCCAATAACTTTCTGCCACTCGTATACTCCATCTACTTTGACAGCGATCTTTTCAAGGTTGGCGTTCTGATGTCGATCATCTTCATCGCTGGTACTATTGCGTCGATAGTTGGCGGCATCTATTCGACACAGTCAAAGAGAGTTCGGCCACCTTTGACACTTGGGATGGTGCTGTTTGTGGCTTATTTTGGTAAGATTTCCCGTTCAAATAACTATTAAACTATAACTAATTGCAATCTCTCAAGCTTGCATGGCTAATCTCAAGCCCAGCCAGTCAGACGCAATCTGGGGCTATACGGTCTTGGCGGGACTTGGTCTTGGGTTTGGCCTTGTTATCGCCGTGACGACTGGTCAAATAAGCACACCGCCCGGTCTGATTGCTACTACCAGCGGTTTGATCTTGACTTCAAGATCTCTAGGAGGCTCGGTGGCCCTTCCCGTCTATACAGCCATTCTAAATTCCCTCTTGACAGAGCATTTAGGCAACGAGATAGCCCAAAGAGTTCTCCCTCTTGGTCTATCAGCCAAAGACCTACCAGCATTTATTGGCGCCCTGGCTAATAACGATCAAAAGACCCTGGAGAGCATTCTAGGTATTTCTCCTGAAATTATCTCCGCGGGGATAGTCGGTTTAAGGTCGGCCTATTACATGGCTTTCCGCGGTACCTGGAGTGCAGCCGCAGCGTTCTCAGCCCTTGGATTGATCCTCGCTCTCTTTGTCAAGGATCCCCGCAGCAGCTTCACAATGCACGTGGATGCTCCAGTTGAGGATAAATTATCCCAAACCCTCGACGGCAAGGAGATTGGTGAGGCGCTTGGGACGCAGAAGAACGATAATGGAGACCTTGACAAGATTACACCACGTAAGGTTTGAGGAGAGGATTGATACTGAGTTACGAAGAAGGTGCTGTAAAGGGGAAAATGGGACCAACGGTCTTGTTTTCGTTTGGCCCGGGCGGAAATTGAACCCAAATGGTGACATTAGGTCTCGGCACTAACTCCAGGTGCTGAGCTTCAGCCCAAATCCTATAGTGTAACTTATATAAGTTGTTAATTAAGAGTGGTTGATAAATATTCTAAGTTTCTTAAGAATTTATAAGATGTTTACCGCTGGAAAGCCCGTTATAGTTCGTTACGTTGACATTGGCACCTTCAAGCAACCCTCGCTAGAATTTTCTGTGGCATACTTTAGTGTAGCAAGCAAGCAAGCACTACATACTCACAGTCAAGGTCTTAAGGAACATTCAAATTGAAGAAAAGCTATTTGTTTCCGCATGGGGCGCCTACTCATTACACATTGTTCAAACAGGGCAACAAAAGCACCACGGAACCCATCACTTCAGTTGATATCTTGAGTCACCTATAGATAGAAATAGCCTGAATACCTTTCCTACTTTAGAAGTCTGTAGATAGACCTTTGGGTGGACTGCATCTCACTTAGGGTGGGGATGAGTTCAAAGTGTCGGTGAACAGGCGGCTCCCTTATTAGGGTGGGGATGAATTCCAAGTGTATGGCCAATGGGTAGCTTGACAGTTAGGTCAGACCTGGGCAGTACCACTCGTCTCACTAGACGGATGAACAAGGACTGCAACCACATTGAAAGAACAACAGGTGGGTGAGTATCTTTACGACCTTTTTTTCGATCTTGTTTTGACTGTCAGAGATACAGTAAGCTAAGTACCGTCTAGTACTGATGGTATCTGCTTCTATAAACCACCCGTATAGGTACCCACCAACCCATTTGCACACCACTGAAAGGATGGTGGATTTCTGAGCTTATAATGGCGGCGGTTGGGTGGGAAAGTTGTGCCAGTTCGTTGTATTCAAAACTTACCTAGTGCAAGTGCTTAGGTCGTGCACGTTTTTGGTAAGGTATCTGACTCTTCAAGGCATTCAATGGTGACCGGTCTTCTCACGCTGATTTTGTGGTTGTCTATGCAGTCGACATAGGCAATGAAGCTGGAAAGGTTATCAGAGTTGGCTCTACTAGGCGGGTGAAACCTATCCGAGAAGTGCTTTTCGAAATTGGAACTTGTCTAATGGCTGGCTTTAAATACATGTGGGAACTAAATAACACTCAAATCCTTCCTAGCATAAGACGGCTTTTAACGTTCACGCGTAATCCGGCCTGAGGACATCATCGCCATAGTTCTGACGCTTCAGCAGTTTTAGGATAACACTCACAAACAACGAACAAACAATTGATAAACGGACTTAGTACCTAGGAGTAACGCGGGCTGATGAAATCGAATTATTACTTCGAAGCATGTGCGATCAAGAGGATGTGATACAATGGTACAAAGTTGCTGGGGTCAGTCGTGATTATCTTGGCGAAATATATCAGCTATATAACACTAAACAATATTCCATAGTACTTAAGACTGCTTCCAGGGGTTAAAAATCTTAACAGGTGCGGAATGAGCGGCTGTGATTCTGTAAATCTTTCCTTCAGGATTCAGCTCGTAATAAATCAGAAACTGGGCCTCGTAGCCCCCCCCCTTTCTTACTCCCGAGCCGAACTGTAGAATATCCTTTTTCTTGAAGTTAGTTTCCACGTGGCTTAAAATGGGAGTTTAGGGTCATACCTCTATATTCACAAGAGCAGTGAATTTGATATTGGACTTGATGGCAACTGCATTCGGGCTAAGGGCAATAGACTGGATATCGACCTCCTCGAGTATATTGTCCCGCGCATTGCGAAAGAAGCTTACGACCTCATCTTTGCCTTCGAGGGTTTGCTTGCTATCCAGAGAGATAACAACATCCTGTGTGTAATAACGCGGGAAGACATCAAAGTCGTTAGTGTTGAACGCATCAAGATATTTGTTCATGTCGTCTCGGGAACGAATAACATCCCTCGAGGCCTCCTTCATGACGTAAGCGTCCTCAGTCAGCAGGCGGATATGACCATCTTTGTCAAGATAATACCAGACGAACATCTTGACAAGAGGGCCGTTTCCCTCCCAGACTGGGCCCCATCTCCCGGCCAGGTTGTCGGTTTCATAGCCATTGATGCCCCGAAACTGCGTGTGCAGTTCGGCAACAACAACGTCCGGGCTAAAGACTATCCTCTCTACGTTGAGAGTTTCACGCATACCAGCATGAATCTGATCGGCCCAGGCCATGAACTCATCGAGATTCCTGTCGGGGAAACCACTGAACCTGAACTATCGGTGAAAGTGTAAGACAAAAGGTTAGACAATAATGGGCCGCTTCACTCACCACAGCATCTTTAGCGTAGTAAGCTGTATACTCAGCTTTGTCGTCACGGTTGAACTGACGAACGTAGTCTTCAAAGTCGGCCTTGGTTCGAATCGACTTGGTTCCAATACGGAGATCTGTAGAGATAGCCATGCTTCTGGGTGTTTAATAGAACTGATTTTTGTAGAACTTCGCAAATTGTCGACGTGGCAAAAAGTTAAAGCTGAGAGTTTGGGCCTATCAAAACTATCTCTTTATTATAAACTCACCCCGGAGTTGTCCAGGCTTCCCCACAAAGTGGCGTTTAGCTTAAGGCGCTAACCCCAGCCAATGAGGACTATCACCGCCGGTGGTAATCATCCAGATGTAAATCGTGCCAGTGGGGTTGAGCGGTACATCAACCCGGTGGGTAAAAGGGTGGAACACTGCTATGAGTGTATGGTTGTCATGCGAGTGTGTGGATGCCCATTCATCGTATTAGCTCGTGTGTATTCAGCCAAGTTTGACTGGAACGGATGGTCACCTTCTACGCTAGCCCTGTCATCTGATCCTCACCGTAGCTGACTATGAAGGACAAAGGCTAGACTCTTTACTGAGTAGGTCGACTCCAGACAAGCAACAGCTTTGAATTTAAACCAATCTCTGGGGGAGATGACAGCTACTAGTCAAATTTGAGCTGCGTTTGCCATCTCCCGTAGTCTCTGGAAGGAAGAGTACAATGAAGATATCGAGATACAATTCTTGAGAAAACCCTTGGCTGTGTCTGCTTCGTTACAGCGAAAGGAGAACTTTATATAACTTATTTGATTATAATATATCTTCATTTGATTAAACTGTCAGGTTGTACAACTAAGCTCCCTCGCGATCGGAATGCTACGGCTAGTTTGTCTTCTACAAAGAACACTGCTATAATATGGTTATGGTTAGACATGTAAAGCATGCCGTAGTGCAGGAATTATACCCTGGTATTTTGGTAAAAAAGCACTTCTGGGTTAACTGGGACATTTAGATGCGGGCGTTGTGGCGTTATAACTCGACTTCTTAATGAGAATATATTGCATGAGCAAAAATGTATATATAGATATGCAATCTGGCGCATATAGGGGCTAAATGAATATGAGAACTAGCTAATGATGGGCTCAACATGGCGTATCAAGCCGAAGCCTTGGTCTCTCGCACCTTGAATCGGCCGTTGTAGTAAGGATACACGAACCAAGCACAAAAGGTGTCCAAGGGCTTGTCTGCATCCTCAACCACCATATCAAATTTTCGGACAATCTGGGGCACCACCTTGGTGAGTTCAAGCAAGCTGATGTTCCTGCCGATACAGGTTCGGGCACCAGCTCCAAACTATAAAGAATCTTAGTCTTCAAATAACATATCCTGTTATTTGTGGGCATACATACTGCAAACATCATCGAGTCCATAATGCTCGTCTTTTCACCCTCAAGCCATCGTTCTGGCCTGAAAACCTTGGGATCTGGGCCGTAGATCTCCTCATCGTAGTGCAAGACCCATGCATTGACACCAACCTCGGTCTAAATGTTTCATTAGTAGAAGTAGACAAGATGGACGGAAATCACATACTCCTTCAGGGAAGTAGATCCCTGATAGTTCCATGCCACCCTGAGGCACGACACGAGGCAGGATGGTACCGACGGCTGGGTGGATACGCAGTGTTTCCTTGATAACGGCCTGCAGATATGGCATATCTTGTGCCTCTTGGAAGGTGAGGGGGTCTGAGATAGTTCCTTGCTTGGCCTTCTCGTCAATCTCATGTCGCAGCTTCTCTAACTTGTCGGGGTTCATATAGAGATAATACAGAGCAGAGCTCAGCGTAACGGCGGTCGTGTCTGAGCCGGCTCCGATGTTGCTGCCGCATGCGTCAAGAAGGTTGGGCTGCTTGAGACGGCCTTCTTTTTCTAGGTCAAGCACCTTCTTCAAGAATGTATCGTACGTTTTTGTATCTTTGATCGTCGGCTTTGCGTTCATATTGCGGTGTTCGTTGATTTGTTTAAGAGTGTAGCTAACAAGGATCGAGGTTTTCGTATCAAGACCTAGTGCCTTGGTGATACCAATGACCCATGGGACCATGCTTGGGACGATGCCCCAGAAGGCCAGAAAGTCATTGCCCCCTCGGATACCTTCGATCATTCCGGTTTTATCGGCTTCGTTCTTCATCATATCAAAACTCTTGTTGAACTAGATGACATTAGCTAGATAATCGCGATGCGAGGGTCTCATAAGGAATCTCACGGTGATAGCGCCAATGACATCAAACGCATAGTATTGCACAAAATGTGGTATGTCAACTAGACGCCCTTCATTTGCGAACTGATATAGCTTATCAATGCAGATATTTGTCATCTCATCGACGGCGGGTTCATATGATACCATAGATGACATGGTATACATCTGTGAGATCTTTCTCCGCCTTTCCTTGTGGAGGGTATTGTCTTGAATGGCGAATATATTCTGCTCGTCGACGACAGGACTTAGAAGAGGCTTGTAGAAGTCAGTCTTAATGTATTTGCCCCCTAATTCGTAGATTTTCTTGACGTCTTTGGGTTGGCTGAGGCTGTATCGATTTGGTCCTATTCGGACAACTGAGCCTGGGGAAGCACTGTTAATGGAATGGACTAAGGATTGAGGTTCATGAATATTGACAAGACGAACCGTATTGCCTATGCAGGCGGATAAACTCCAGGTTGGATTTGCCATTCTTGACCACTTGATACTCCCACCAGCGTGTCATACGAGCCAGGAGCGGACCTGGGATCTTCCTCAGAGGCGAGAAAAATAGACTATAAAACAAGGCCGCCAGATAATAAGCGAACACAAGACTAGCTGGAGCCAGGAAGAAGCCAAGGGCAAGCTTTTTGAGGCCCACATGCTGAAGTTGTAACAGGATAGCCTGTGTGAGGGGCGAATCTTCTAAACTTCGTAGTAGGGCCATCGTTGTTGGATGAAGTGGCGAGAATAATCTCAATATGGACTGAATATTATTCAGATCTGGGGTGCTTCTGCGCTATTTTAACATATGTATGGCGACAGATTGTTGACGGGAGCAAAGCCAAGGCGCACTCTCATTCCCCTGATTATCGGTGGGGTTATTTCTCAGTTCCACTGCCCACAATGATCATACGAGGTAGTATGTCTTGCTTCAAAACAAGAGAAGGTGTCAAATACGACGAGTGCCATATGTGATCCCCACTGTCGTGGATATGATCAGTTGCCTAGCACCATTGCCTCTAACGTTCTGGAAACTCTATGGTGGTTTGATGCCTCTCCCCACCAACGCATGCGGATGGTCGATGTCTGAACGGATAAAACCTCCCCACCAAGTTCCCACTCCCACTCAACTAGGTTGTCTTCAAAGCACAGCAACAAACCGTAGTACCACCACCGACTGGGAAAGGAAGTCAGTGGTCTCCCCACTGAGAAGATTGACAGGACTCAAGCAACTAAATAGAGCACTCACCAGCCGACCGGCCTCAAGAGCTGACCAAGCTCATCTTGATCTCCTGACTAAATTGAAGCTTTATGTGAAATAACTTTTTATCCTTCCTGAATAAATTAGTATAAAAGTCAAAGAATTATCTTTAAACGGCTAAACAATGGGTGCCTACACTGCCGAAGTCGAAAGAATCTACGCCGGACTCACCGACCAGCCTCCTCACACCCAAGACCAAGCAATCATGGCCAAAGCGGTAATCGAATTACACCTAGCAACTTTCAAATATTATGACTACAATAGGACGTTTGAGCTTGTCGATGAGAACTACAAACAACATAGCCAGCTGGTGGCTGACGGACGCGAATCCATCATTGAAGCATCTAAGATTCTTAAGTCTATTGCGGCAAAGCACTGGACGGGACCCGGGGAGCCGCATTTCAACATGCAGTTCAAGAGGGTTCTTGTTGATGGAGATTATGTTGTGTCACAGATTTTCTCCGAGCGCTGGCCAGGCGACTCAGGCGAGCATGTCTTTGACCTGTACAGGTGGAAGAACGGCAAGTTTGTGGAGCACTGGGACGTTATTCAACAGGTCCATCCGGAAAATATCAAGCATGGAAACTCTGTTGCTTGAGCTGGAGCTGATTGAAGTGAGGGAATCAGTAGTTAGGGGAAGAGGCTCTTCCGCAGACAGAGATCCGCCCAATGCTTGCTCTCTCGCGCGTTACCCAGCGTTCCCACCCGCCAATCGATTTAGTGATTTTGCCAAGAATATATCTGTACTCTTAGCTGTCTAAATTAATGACCAGTATTTGCAGGGTTAAGTGTATATGTATAAGACCTGTGGCAACTCTATATGTTCTCGACGCTAAAAAGCCGATTAGCACAATGGACAATAAAGCAGCCTATCTCTATGGCCTTTCCACAGGTCGATGAATATATGAATATGTATAGGACGGGGTAATAAAGTGTTTGTTTCAACTGGTATGTGCTATTGACTACAACTCTCCACCTATCGAGGGTGGGAAGTTCCATGGTGGGGAAATCATACTATCCCTCCGGGTGAGAAAACCTGGAGACGCGGAGTAAGTACCACTAGTAGAATGTAAAGGCGGGGCCCCGTAAGCTAACCTGGTCTTGTTCTTTGTTAAGGTAAGCGTAGGCAAAACTTTCCTCTCAACTAGTTACATCTCATACATTAGTGATTCCAGTTTAGGGTTAGTTAACGCAATCCAGGCTTTCAATGGTCTTATGTAAAGGCTTACGGGAGGGTATCGAAATGCCTGAGCCACCTACTGGGTGGCACAAGCGCGGGGTAAAAAGGCTACGAGCTGGAAACATTCTCCTGCGGTTCAGTTTGAAGTTACAAATCTTGTCTGACAGAAATAAGATATAATCGACTTGTCCATCTTCGACTCAATCTAAAGGAATACCTGGTCGCTCATTGTCATCAACACTATATGCGCGATTGTCCAACACTACTCACCTCCCAGCAAATATGGATGCCCTGCTCAAGAACGTTGTGCTGATTGGCGTACGTATGAATACGGGTAGCACATCTCGATTCGTGATTTTAACGCATTGATAGGCTAGTGGTAACCTTGGAGTCAACATCCAAGACCATTTTCTATCTCAAAAGGACTCGCCACTACACGTGTCCGTCTTAACGAGGAAGGATTCTGAGGCCAAATTCCGTACTGGCTTGAATATCATCGCCACAGACTACAGCTTTGAGTCACTTGTTAAAAGCTTGCGAGGACAAGATGTTGTCATCATGCTGCTCCCACCAGAGTCCACCGTCGACCATGAGACTGTCATTGACGCAGCTGTCAAGGCAGGCGTTAAGCGTTTCTTTCCTTCTGAGTACGGAGTCAGGACCTACTACCCAGCTTTTGCTGAAAATATGTTGCTCGCTACCAAGAAAAGATCTATTGTCAAACATCTAGAGAAAACCCAGGATACGATGAGCTGGACTGCTATCTTGTGTAATCCTTGGGTCGACCACGTGAGTCTCCAAAAAGTAAATCTCAGACTCAGAAGCTGATCCGAATTCACAGTGCGTCATTGATGGACTTCTAGGATTTGACATGAAGGAACAGAAAGTACGTATCTACAATGGTGGCAATGTTCCCATGTCTACGGGTACCCGTAACCTAGCTGCCCAGGCTCTCTATTCGCTCATCACCAACCCACAGCGGATGGATGAGGCAAAGAATATGTACATCCACGTCGCATCTTACACAGTTACGCAAAATGAGATCCTGGCCGTGGTGGAGAAGTTAACAGGCGAGAAGTGGCAGATCGAGAACGTCACCTCGAAGGAAGTCATGCCAAAGGCTTTGGCAGATGTCAGAAAGGGCTTAAACTGGGGTCTGGGCTACCAGGTCCAGGCGATTCTCTTCGACTACGGCTCAGATGGTGAAGCAATCGGCGATTTCCGCCCGCTGGGAATATGGAATGAGAAACTTGATCTGCCCAAAACTACTTTGGAAGATGATCTAAGAGGCCCTCTTTCGGGCGAATGGAAGGGAATTGTTCACTGGCAACCTGATGAGCTTCCGAACTATGAACTCAAAAAAAATTAAATTCACTCAGACTAGCTGTAGGATAACAAACCAGCAGTCTTTGTTTCGGACTCAGGTGAAAGGTTCAATCTTGTTTTTTCAAACTCTGCACATTAGTTCAGAAAATAGCATTTGATCTCTAGTTGTCTTATCGACTAAGTTTCTTTTTCTGGAGTGTCACCCAGCATTAACGTGGGACTTTATCTCTGGAATCTTGGAATTTATAGAGCTCGTGTCTATGGTTGAATGCCATTCCTCCACTCCCATACATAAGCACGTCACTGGTTGCTTCAACAGTCGCAAAAGGCAGTTGCCTTCCGATCATGCTATTAATCGGATGTTGGGCGTAACAAGCATCGCTTCTAGCTCTTGACATGAATATGCACGTTGAGTATTGAGTTGGAGGCAATTGCCCTACATTCAAAAGGGCTGTCGGTCGCCATGATTCAATGTTTATTCATAGGTATATGTGGTTGTATAAACGTAGCGAGTTGGGTCATACTTGTGGACCGTGGGTGGAGTTTGACATTTGCCGCAGCCAAATAGTTGAAAGACAGGAAAGCAATGTAAATCTGACCCCAATGGTACCCGCTGTGCTATCTATAGCTTGCTACCAGCACCAGCGCTCTTGTCCAAAACACTACTAAACCCGCGATGACCAATGAAAGTCTCGGAAGGATCCCACTTGTCCCTTATCTCAAGCCACTTCCTCAGAGCAGAGTCTGTCATGACCTGTTCTATCAGTCAGTATGAATTGTAATACATAAGAAATTTTGTCCAGGCTTACCTTCGGCTTCCTGTGCTTCTCGTTAAAATCAGCGACGTATACACCACACGATACCTTATCTGCCTTAGTATATGCGTCGAGTAACCAGCTATCCATAGCTGCGTCCTCTTTAGGATCTTTCCAGCAGAGCATGGTGGAGACATAAGTCTTCTGAGGTAGACTCAGAGCCTGATCAGCCTCATTGGGGTAGTAGTCTATGGGGCACAATGTGCCTGAGGACAGACGGGAGGGTAAGTTGAACAAGGCCGGGGTGATGGCATCGATAACCTGAAGGCCACGTTGTTAGCACTTAATCAATGTAGTAATACTGAGTAACTTGCCTCGTCGTCAGAAGCTTTGGGATCGACCAGAATGCTGTCAACATTCCATCTTTCGCCGTTGCCCTGAGGTTGAAAGCTTTCCTGAAGACCCCAGAGTTCTTCCCAGGTCCTTTCCATCAATGGAACTGTAGTAACAATGTGCTTCTTAAACTCCTCAGGGAATGAGTCTAGCGGACTTGCCAACACCTTGGCCTCATCCAGAGAATCAGCAAAGATGGTCAAGTTGATAGCAAGAAAGACACGCTTTGCGGCGGACTCGTGGCCACCATTGGGGTCGTCCTTGTCGGCGTAAAATGTTGCGTAGAATAGATCCACGCCGTACTTGGGGACTTTGCTGGACATTGCGAGTGTCCACTTGAGGAGAGGCTTGAAGATATCGGTGGAATCAACAATCATGGTAATGTCGAAGAGCTTTCTTGTCGGAATTGTCTTAACCCAAATTCGGGTGATGACCCCAAAGAAGCCTTGTCCGCTGCCTGGCGCTGCCCAGAACAGGTCGGAGTTCTGGGTCTTACTAGCAATGACTATCTTGCCCTCTGAGGTGACGACTTCCAGCTGCGTCACCCACGTAGGGGCGGTGTAACCCCACCCGCGGAGGAAGCATCCCTGGCCACCAGCAAGCAAGAAGCCGCCAACAGCGACAGATCTTGAATGACCAGTCGGGAAGAATCTACCACGGGGTTCGAGGAACTTGGTCACATCTTCAACTTTGTGACCAGGGCTTATAGCAGCTGTGTTAGTCGCCGGGTCGTATTCAATATCTCGGTTCAGATTACGCGTGTCGATGAGGAGGCCGCCCTCGAGCAGTGCGTTACAGAAGAACAAGTGGCCACCGGAACGGATGCCAATCTTCCAGTCATGTTCCCGCGCCCTCTTGACGGCGGCCACAACCTCTGATGTGGTGGTTGGACTGGCTATCTCGGCTGGGTGGACATCAGGGACTCGCGTGTTGAAGAACTTGCGACGAAGCTGGTCGTAGCCCTCAGAGCCTTGAGACAGAGTGTTTGAAACTGAAGCCATGATGATTTTGTTGTATGCGAACTGATGAGGAAGGATGCATCACTAAAGTTGTCAAAGAGTCGAATTATTTAAAGTTAGAACCAACATGTCTAGTTGCAGATAGCCGTGCCTGTGGAACCGGGATCCTCGGGCACCCACCAGAGTTGGTTGCCACCTGTTTGTTGAGTGAGGTGGGTGAAAACGCAAGCGTTACCACCCGCCACCCCCGCCCTCATAAGCTTTGCCCATTCACTGAAATCGGAGTTTGGTCACACATGCCCTTTTGACTTTACTAACGGCAGAAAATAGCTTGTCCAATATGCTAGTGAAACTATCATCGTTGGGGGGTTTTCACCGGTTCACTGAAAATAGGACGTAGATTTGAAGGTGTGGTGCTGCGCTACTCTGGGGTTGTTTAAGCTTGAACTACATCGGGATCTTAGAAAGCTGAGTCTGTTTAGGATATTGGATATTTTAGGTTGCCGAGGAAGTTCACTGATTAATTTCATGTAAGCCCGAGAGTTGCAAGGTACCCTAGAGCATTAAGACACCAAGAGAACCTTCGGTTGTAGAATCCTTTGTTGCTGTATCAATAAGTCAAGATGCACGGAATTCATACTAGATTGTTCCCGTATGACGGTTTCGAAGGCATAGACTGAAATAATTAGGCACTGTAGCTACTGATTGGTACCGTAAACCACTTGACAAACAATCCCAATAATTATCTAATATCTATGGTATAGAATGCGCTGGACAACCCCAAGAATCTTGTTGTTTCTTAATTGATTGACTAAAGCCTCGCCTTCCCTAACCACTGACTGATTCTGTGGTCTTGATACCGACCTTGTCCAGCTATCCCAGGCGTAAGTGAGCACGTAAACAAAGCATGAGAAATGTCCAACGTGGAGTTCTAGGATGCGCTCACCTCAGCCACAACATCATACCCATACACAAAGTCTTGTGCGGCTGGATCAATCCTATGAACAGTGTTAGCGACAAATCCGAAAGCATTGATGACCCAGGCGGTACCAACCAGTAGAATGGGTATCCAGGTTGCTGATCATAAAGTTGAGATTCTGCGAGGTTGTCCCTCGCTTCTTGCTCCGGCCCGTCGGACAGATGGTTGGTATGTCTCTGCACCAAAAATTAATATACACTGATCCCCCATCTTGCAATCGAAGCCTCTAGCAAATACTAGACGTACCTGCTTCATGCTCCATTTCTGTAGAGCGGTGCTACGAGGAACTCTCAGATCTTGATACGCTTTCAGGGCGTCGGGAAGTTCTTGTCTGCTGTTGACCTTGGAGAGAATGATACCCAACGCAGCACCGTCTTCAATCGCGGATCCAGCCCCTTGCGCCATGTAAGGAAGCATGGGATGGCAAGCATCGCCTAGGAATGCGACGGTGGCCTCGTCATTGTACCAGCGCTCCAGTTCATCAACTACTGGTTGTTAGAGCCCCTCCATATCCTAGGCTTGATGGTACTCACGATGCATAAGCTTCCACTTTTCTATCTTGTCCACCTGAGATAGAAACCTTTGTAGTCTGATACTATCAGTTAGCTAGGTAGCTCCTTTTTGGATGTCAGGCGACCTTGGCAGTCAACATACAATGGGTCCCAGCCGTGGAAGATCTCTCGCATCTCAGAAAGGTCACCGACCATTTTGGCCACATTGTCTGGTAGATTATCCGGAACCAGAAGGACGATGTTTGCCATTGTATTGTTCCTGAGTGGGTAGTAGATGGCATGGCATTCGGGGCCAACCCACAAGCAAACGCGTGGCTTCTTGATGAAGTCGAGCAACTCGGGATCCTTGATGTTCTCCGCTTTCAGAACGATACGGTATGCAAGGTCTCCCGTGGCGATAGGGGGGCTGGGTCTACCAAGAACCGTGGATCGAGTCTTGGACCAGAGTCCTGCTATGTGTTAGCATCTGATCACACGAGAGGAGGGGAGAGGCCCTTTTATTCACCATCCGCAGCAATCACTAGATCTCCTGTGATCTTCTCTTCTTTATCTGTCGTCAATTGCGGTATGCTGAGATCCACGTCCCTCACCAAGGTACCGAACTTGAAGCGGACGCCAAGAGTCTTGGCCTGCTCGAACATGGCGAGTTGTAGGTCGGCTCGGTGCATGTCCCAATAGTGCGAGTTATACTTGTCGAGCATCTCAGTGGCAAAATTTTGGCGGTTGCCAAGAACCTTCCGCCCGTCAAACCGACGAACGAGGAACTCTTCGGGACTGCTCGCCAGCTTCTCCAGGCTGGGCTTCAAACCCCACCTAAGGAGCAGTCGTGTAGCATTCGGGGTGAGTTGGAGACCTGCACCAATCTACATGATGAAACTGTAAGCGGGCCATGTCAACGAAGACGAGGTTCGAAAATCTTGCCTCGGCCAAAACAGGAGCAGATTCCACGACAAAAACATCATGGGTTGGCGTCTCTTTCTTAATGGATAAGGCGGCAGCGAGCCCACCCAGCCCAGCTCCGATGATAACGATGTTCAAGGGCATGTTGAGGCTGAGGGCAGGATTGTTTGTGATTGAATTCTTAGTTGCTTTCCAAAGAGCCAACATGATCGACATCACATGCTTCGTCGTGCTTGTTTTGTCTTTATAGAGAGCCAATGGGACACGGTGGCTCTAACCTCCCCACCCTGCCTAGGTGGGTGGTCAGCAGTTTGACTACGGTGGTGTAACATACCCCAATGTCACTGTCCGAGTGACATCTACGATTGGCTTTATCCCACCTGTATGCATTTATGACGGGGCTGTCGACGCATCTCAATTTTGGCTGTCTATATAAGATTAGGATCACAACGGTGTCTTGATGGGTATCTAGTAACAGTCACAGACCCATTCATCCATATCTTCACACTTCTCAAGACTACCTACTCTTACTATTTTTATAGAACAAAACCCACCTCAACAAAATGTCCTCATCACTCTCCGGTAAAGTCGCTTTGATCAGCGGGTCTTCGTCGGGATTAGGCGCCGCCATTGCACGCGAGCTGTTTAGCCGCGGGGCATCGGTGGTGATCAATTATCCCAACGCCAGCGAGAAAGCCAATGCAGAGAAGGTCCTCGAGGAACTCAATGCAAAAGGAAGAGCAGTCGCTGTAGAAGCCGACCTGTCAACGCCCGAGGGACCGCAGACCCTTGCTGACGCGGCGGCCAAGGCCTTTGGCAAGATTGACATCCTGGTCAACAGCGCCGGCATCAACCGTCCCATACCTCTTGACGATCCCGATGATGAAAAGGTCAACAAGACGTGGCATGATGTCTTCAATCTCAACGCGAGGGGAACATTTTTCCTTACCCGTGCCGTTCTCAAGCACTTGTCACGCAAGAACTCGCGCATCATCAACATTGGTAGCTCTATTTCCCGCTGCCCTGCCCCAGATTCGAGCATCTATGCGGGCACCAAGGGCGTCGTTGAGGTCTACACCCGGTGCTGGGCGACAGAGCTGCCCCGTAAATACGGATGCACTGTCAACGCCTTCGCCCCTGGCCCCATTGGGACAGACGCGTTCAACGCGGCACCCAGCTTTGTGAGGGAGGCGTTGCAGCCCGTGATCGATGCTACGCCTGTAGCTCCTCGTGTAGGTACACCTGAGGAGGTTGCTTGGGCGGTTGCGACTCTTTCTGAAGACAAGGCGAGCTGGATTAACGGGGCGTTTATACCCATCAGCGGAGGAAGCGGTGTGTTTTAGACTAGGAAGCGATGATATAGTCCATAGTATGGATAGTTGCCTCTAATAGAGCATTTTGCCTCAACGCGCGATCTATGTGGCGTGCCGACGTTCTATATAGATACGATAGACATTGTGCCTAATGAATACATTCCAAAGGTCCGTGACCACGTCGATAAATGAGGCCCTCGATGTGTAGAGGTACGAGTAGAAAGATAGCTCAATAATCCGCGTTGTGGTTCTCAGTTCAAATAACGTGAATTGCCTACATTGACCAAATAGCCAAGTATATCTGAAGCTGGTGAAGAAGGGTTACGCAGTCAGATAAGCAACTTTACGTGCACTAAAATTCGTGCGTAAGCGGCTATTGTTGTCTCGACGAAGGGTTTTCTTATTCAATCGGATCCAAACGAAATACATTGTGATAGACTGCTGCGAGATATTTAATGAGCAACTCCATTCGTTCCATTCGCTCGTCGGGCCTCACTGGCCGCTCTAGCTGCATCAACATCCTTGCCATCCACCCAACTACCATGCAGGCCATCCATTAACTTAAAAGGGAGCTTGATCTCAGCAAGGGGTCCCTTCGTGATGTCAGAAGCCTCGAAAAGCAGCACAACATTGCGACCTTCGCGATACCGATCAGCCACAACGAGGATATACCCGTCCTCAGGGTCAGCACCCTCGTGTCTGGGTACAAAGACGGGTTCCTGGAATGTGGTATCGTCTGCGTGACGGTATGACTGCAGTTCTCCAGTGTCAAAGTTGAAGCAAACTAGGGTATTGAAACCGACATTTCCAACGGCATCCTCGTGGTCGTTGAGCTTGATAGGGCGAGTGGGATCAATTTTGAGTATCCACACGCGCGAATATTTCTTGCCCAGCAGACGGTCATCTATGCGGCCAAACTCATTCACACCGTCGACGAGCACCCCCTCAGGGTGGATCATCTTGTCCGTGCTGGCCGTGGGGTCGAACCTGTAGCGGAGGATGGGTGCCTTGACCTTGCGGGGATCAGTGAAGAACCTCTCGCCCTTGGTGTTGGGGAAGAATGGGAAGTGCACGTCGGTCCAGACGTTTGCATCGAGAACCAGCTTGCCATCCTCCTCATAGGCGTTGATGGTGTGCGAGTAGCAACCCTGAGGTGTCTTGAACCACTTTGCATCCTCAGGCTTGGCACCTCTGCGAGGAATTACGCCAAGCAGCTGGTAGTCAAGGTTCTCGTCCCAGTAGAAGTGGTCACCACCAGCCTTCATCTGCTCTAAGCTGGCCTTGAGACCGTTGATAGGGAAGACGACCCAGTTATCAGTGGCCCAGAAGTCGTGGATCATGCAGGGCCATGGTGCCTTGAACCAGACCTCCTCGGAAAGTTTGCCGTCCTTGTCAACGGTGAAGGAGCAGATGTCCGGGGTTGCTTCACCCGCAGCCTCATAAGAGTAGGACACAAGCTCTCCCGTGGCAGAGTCCGCCTTGGGATGCGCAGTGTGCGTGGGGGCACGCATTGTGCCGTGATAGTCAATATAGCCGAGGGTCTCAAGCGTGATGGGGTCAAGCTCCATAGGGCGAGCATCTTCCTTGAGCGCCATCAGCTTGTTGTCGTGAAATACAACATGAGTATTGGCCGTGGTGCCCTTGAGAACATTCTGCACTCGGGGATCATCCGTGAACTTGTTTCGGTATCTGCCAAAGAGGGCGCGCCTGGCCTCACGCTCTGCGATAAGCTTAGGCGTGCGCACGTAGCGCTGCTTGAAATCCACATGACCGTCCTTGATAGTGAAGGAGCTGACGTTGCCGTCGCCGTTGAGAGGGATCTCGGTCTCGGCAAAGATGGGTGGGAACGCGTGGTCTGGTTGGACGCGGTAGAAGACTCCATGAATCTCGGTAGGGATTGATCCGATGACCTCGAGCTCATAGGCGTCTGCCTCAAAGCGCAGATGGTCTTCGTTCCACTTGCTCATGGCATAGTGCTTGGGAAAGCGGGTGCCTGGGACTCCTGGAACGACGTGTGCCATGGTGGAATAAACAATGAATATTCTTTTTCTATCTTGTGGTCAGGTGCAGAGCATATATTCGAGCATTTTTGGATATAGTATCTCGAATTTATATCTTCTCCGGACTCTCCGGCAAGCATCTCTATTCTCCTCATAATACAAGATCCCACTGGTTTGCTAGCCAACTAATGACTTCACTGCTGTGTGGGGGAAGTCGATGTGGATGTGACCCAAGAGTGGGTAAAATGTGCTTGGTATGTATCAAATCCCCACCATTACGGTGGTCTCAACTACACTGTGTTAAGTGATTGTACCACATGAGACGCGATGAGGTTGTGCCACCCGAATCGAACCATTTGCTGCTCTAGTGTAGAATTGTGAGGTAAATAATGGTGGGTTCTTTTTGTCTAGTTATTCTAAGGTCTTTAGGACGGCCATTCATGCTGTTCAAGAAGGACTGAATCTCCCTGCTGATGTATTCTTCCAACCTTGTTTAAGTAGACATCGAAAAAAAACTCCAAATGTTCAAGTGGTATGAATCGCCCGACCTTCAGTCGCATCACGACAATGCGTTCACTTCTCGAAACCCGGGGTTACGATCCCTTCCTCCAGGTCATAGTGAAGCCAGCTTCCAGCGTGCGGTCAATGAGTTCCGGGCCATTGTAGGTGCTGAGAACGTCATTACCGACGAAGGTCTGGCCAACTTCCGTGATCCTTATCCCCTATTTGAGGAAGGATTTGAGGCATCAGCAGGTTTATGGTATGACTCAGCCCTCAACCCTGTGTCATGTCAATCAAACTAACGTTGAATCAGCCCAGCATCTGTCGAAGAGGTCCAAGCAATTCTTAAAGTAGCAAACCAATACCAGATCCCGCTTTGGACATGCTCGCAAGGGAAGAACTTTGGGTGAGCTTAACATGACCTGTCCCAAAGTCAATCATCCTGCTTAATTCCTGCTAGCTATGGTGGACCTGCACCCCGCGTTTCTGGCTCCATGGTGCTGTCCCTCCACCGCATGAACCGTATCTTGGAAGTCAACGAGAAGTTGGCTTACATCGTAGTGGAACCCGGTGTCACCTTCTTTGATGTTTTCAACCACATTGCCAAGAACAAGCTTGATCTTTGGGTTTCTGTCCCAGCTTTAGGCTGGGGAAGTGTCTTGGGCAATGCAAGTCAAGCCTCGCTGCTCAATAGCTGTATCTCTTACTAACAGGCTTCCAGACACTAGACCGTGGCCATGGATATACCATTTCTGGAGACCGCCAGCACTTTGTGGGAAGCATGGAGATTGTCTTGGCTTCGGGAGAGATTCTCCGAACAGGCCAGTGGGCTGTGCCTAATTCCCCGAGCGCACATGCCTGCCCTAACAGCTTCGGCCCTCAGATCGATGGACTTTTCTTACAGAGTAATTTGGGTGTTGTCACAAAGATCGCCGTGGGTCTCGACGTGGCACCGCAAGCATTCATGGATGTCAAGATCCACTGCCCTGAGGTTGAAGACCTCGCACCTCTCATCGACACACTCCAGCAACTGGATCGCGAGGGCATCACCCAAAGTCACCACATGATTACCAACATCAACCATTTTGCCTCTCATGACGCACCAAAGCACCAGCAGCAGAGCCAGCCAGGGCCCCTCACTCTGGAGTCCATTGCCGCGCTCAAGAAGAAGTACAACACAGGATATTGGCGATGCACAATATCCCTATATGGCCCCAAACAGATGGTTCTTGCCCGTTGGAGCAGGGTAGAGGAGCTCGTCACCCAGAGGGTCACGAACGCCTGGCTTGAGCACACTCTCTTCGAGGGCAAGGACGGCAAACCTGTGGACAACACTGGAATAGGGACTCTGGCTGCAGGAGTTCCCTCAATGGGTGCCGTTAAACTTGCAGAGTACAACCTCCCTGCAGATGGCACAGGTGCAGGCGCGCACATTGACACGACTCTCATCCTGCCTTGTGATGGTGAAACAGTTGTGACATGGTTCCACAAGGCCCGGGCGATCATGGAGGAACAAGGAGTCGACCCCTTCATTGGCTGTCACGTATTCTCAAAGTACATCCTTTTTGTTCAGGAATACGTCTTTGACAAGTCAAACCAGAAGGCGCGTGAGGGCGGGCGCAAGGTAGTCAAGGCTTTGCTCACTGAAGCAGAGAAAAACGGGTTTGCAAATTATAGAGCTCACGTTCAGCACATGGGTAAGATCTTTTTGATGCTTTGCGGTAGGAAACTGCTACTAAACGTTCACAGATGCGGTCCAGAACTTATATGGATTCAATGGCCACATTTACAGAAGATTTGTTGAGACTCTCAAGGTATGTCACTATATTTCCTCCACATAATACTGTTTTTGTTAATTCTCTACTAGGGTGCTCTAGATCCAAATGGAATCCTGTCACCTGGAAAGCAGGGTATCTGGCCAACGAAGAGTCTGGTTCATCTACCGGCTCGACAAACCTAAACTTAGTGTTTACCACATATAATACAGTATTGCTACAGGCTCATTCCCCAGTGACACACGTTTATGCTTTATCGGCCTCCAGAACCAACGCAAGTCAAAGGCCTTAGGTCTATTCTGCGTCTTGATACATATGCATCCAAATATATGCCATACTATGCTGCATTCTCGAGTAGTAAGTTGAGTAGGCCTACTCATAGCAAACACCAAGTTTTCAGGGTTGCTTCACGTGACAATCTTTATCATAGTATGACGAACATCTTGAAAGGGACATCAGCGTGTTTAAATGCCAGGGTAGATATGACTTCAGAGCCTGTTAGGTCTTACATCTCAACACAGTGAGCCCTTCCATCTCATACATGCAAGACCGCTTATTTCTTTTTTCATCTCTTTATAGCCTTAATTTCAACCTGAATTAATAAGAAAGAGTGCCGTTGACTACTTTAACACCATTCCTAAGATTCCCAGCCGACTGTGTTGCCTTTTCATGCCGCAGCGCATCCACCTCAGCTTCAGAGACCAGAACAAAGTCGTATGTCAGCACCTTCGTGGTTTTCAGTACTCCATATGTCTCAGAGAGTCCAGGCGTATCAGATGCCCTCTTCAGATCCACAATCAAGGACTCTTTCACACCGAAGACGGCGTCGGAGGTTTCATACGGGTCACCACGAACATAAAGTGCCCTGACCATGTTAGTCGAACTTTAGTCTGTTAGGATAATCACAACTTACGTTATCAACGGATCGTAACCAGCCTTATTGAATTTGAAATGCATGTGACTAGGTCGGTAGGGGTGCCGATTGAGGACTTTGAGAAGCTGTCCTACAGGCCCGTCGTCTGGAATGGGATATGAAACTGGGACAATGGCCTTGAAATGAAAATTCCCCTGCTTATCGCTGTGGAGTATAGCTCGGTTATCGAATCCGTCACGATCCGCATACTGCACGTCATAGAATCCCTTGGAGTCTGTCTCCCAGATATCAATCTCCACGTCTGGCAGTGGGTTGCCTTGTGAATCTTTCACTGAACACACAACCAACAGTGGCTCTCCGTCGGGGTCATGCGAGATGGCCTCACCCGAGGCCAATTCCTCAGCTCCGTGGGCGTGGAAGGGGCCGAGAACAGTGCCCTCGGTAGACGCGGGCGGCTTTGGGTGATCAATTGAATCCACCAACAGGGATAGTCCAAGCACATCGGACAGAAGAATGAACTCTTGCCGAGTGTCGGTGCAAATCTGCCCTGTCCTGGTGAGGAATTGTATAGCTGTCATCCACTCTGATGTCGTGAGACGAGTCTCGCGCGCAAAGTCATGAAGGTGATGGGCAAGCCTCTCGAAGAGGAAGCGAGTACGGGGGTCCGAACAAGAAGAATTGATGGCCACGACATTCTCAGTAATATTGTCGGTGGTGAGGTTCTTCAAGGGGGTAGTGTCTGGGCGAATATGAGACATGTTGGAATGTGTTTACTAGACTACCTTGGCTAATATGATCGAATCTCGTATCGTTGGTGTACGCCTCTAACGAATATAGACGTATTTTCATACCTTCAGGGTCAATTCTTATGCATCTAGTTACGAATCGACGCCAGAGCGACTACAGTAGCATTAAGAGACCCATCGATGGTGGGGATGAGGCGGGTGGTCCGCGGGTGGCTATGGGTGGAAAGCGCGGAAGACCCGCGTGGGTAATGGATAACAATTAACAACTGTCAGGAATGAGCTCTAGGCGTATTTTGAAGCCTTCGAGGAAATAAAGGTGGCAGATTGATGCGAAGAAATATTGTCTCATCACTCAGTTCAACTCTCATTGTGAACAAAACTGAGATCACCAAAATGGAGTCCTTCGTTTACAGTCCGCTGCCTCACAAAATCATCTTTGGTCGTGGTTCAACCCGGCAACTTCCACAGTGTCTCCGGGCACTCGGCTTCCGTCGTCCTTTAGTCCTCTCTACGCCATACCAGATCGACCAAGCGAGGCAGATCACTGAGATTTTGAAGCCTCATGTAGACGATGCTTCCATCTTCTCTGAGGCTACCATGCACACACCCTTGGGCATTACTGAGAAAGCTCTGCAATTTTGTCATGACAAAGAGGCCGATGTGCTCATTTCAATTGGAGGTGGCAGCACCACTGGCCTTGGGAAGGCCATCAGCTTCCGCAAAGATCTTTACCACATTGCAATTCCTACTACATATGCTGGTAGCGAGGTGACTCCGATCCTCGGAGAGACTGTTGATGGCATCAAAACAACCCAGACCAACATTTCAATTCTCCCAAAGACTGTCATCTACGATGTCGACTTGACCCTCACGCTTCCTCTGCCGATGTCCCTCACGAGCATTATCAACGCTCTTGCCCACGGCGTTGAAGCTCTTTACGCGCCTAATGTCAACCCCATCGTCAGTCTAATGGCTATCGAGGGCGTGAGGGCACTCGCAAGAGGCGCAGTGCAATTGCTAGATGATCCCGACTCTATCTCCGCTCGATCTACGTGCCAGTATGGAGCCTGGTTGTGTGGAACATGCTTGGGTAGTGTGGGAATGTCTCTCCATCATAAGCTCTGC